CATAGATTATCAACAAAACCCTTGTCAATATACATAGGTTATCAACAAAACCCTTGTCAATATACATAGATTCTCATTAAAACCCTAGTCAATATTCATAGATTATCAACAAAACCCCTTGTCAATATACATAGATTATCAACAAAACCCTTGTCAATTTACACAGATTACCAACAAAACCCTTGTCAATATACATAGATCACGTATTGCAGTCCCTTATTAACATACACGTTTGATGTTAAAAGCTCACTGGAGGTTCTGGTCATGATGGAGCATTGACACATTTAACCAGATAGTGCTTGCTGTAATATTTAGTCTCTGGGAAAATTTGGCGACGTTTAATATTCATGGGAGGTTCTGGTCCAGTAGTCATGATACCTTCCTCATGCTGAAATAGGATGCTCTGACTATCTTACCTGTCCCTTAACTAGACTATTTGGCATGGGAAGTAAAGTAAGCTTTGATATTAAAATTGCTAGTCGGTTTGAATACTTTTTTTCGAAAATTCTCCGAAATCGTTGAATTGTTTTTAGTTTCTATTAGCTGATCACCGGAGAGAGAAATTTGGACTGAGCACAAAATCCTAGTTTGAGTATGAGAACGGTTTCATGAATACGGGCCCTGGTCATCAGTGAGCTAGAACAATATGTACTTTTCAAGTGTCTTCATGTTAATTGTTCTTTTGTTCATAGTTTGCCCTAGTTTTATCGATTTGGAGTTCGAAATATGTTTTTTTAACACTTAGGTGTTCTCTTGTCGTTTGTTTCTAATGAATAGACATAATATCTAGCATACATGTACTTAGAATAATGAAATGTCCATAAAAACATATATCGCACATAGATCATTCATAAACCATTCCTAAATTGTTATAAACAACGATGGTAATTTAAAATCGTAAGGGGTTGTCCAGTTGTGCGCACGTTACTGTTGCTTATTTTTGTAACTGCAGACATGTTTATCATACTTTCCTCAAGAGTGATAATTGGTGACGTGTTGAATTTCATTTAAATCTATAAGCCTTGGGGGTAACTGACAAAGTAGTTTACTCTTTGCAAATGTGGTTTCCAGAAGGATGCTAAATTATCAATGCATTCCATAATAACTAATGGTCATTGACAACAGTAAATGTGAACTCCCCTTTTAACAAGTGTTTTTTTGCGTTGTCTTGATATTCGTATAAATCTCGAATAACCGGAACTTTTGACGTCGTAAGTGGGATTTATTGTACAAATAAACTAGGGGGAGGGGGCACTACCCTAACGTGTAGGGTTATGGTAGTGGTATCTAGTACTGTGGACCACTAGCGACGTTAAATGTTATATCCATCTAGTCCAAAGGCCTTCTTAGCAACATTTAATGTTCTCTTGTCGCAGGAAGGCATCAGGGAGTCTATTGTTCCCGGAAATGCGTGTCAATTGGGATACAGCGTTTGATTCACAATGTATGCAGAGACAGGTGGTGCACAATGATTTGTTTTATCGTGAGTGGTTGGTAAACTTCTCGGGGAATTCCTTGGCCAACCTCTCCGTTAATTTTACAGAACCTGGTGAGAAATCAAGTAAAACGCAGTAAAATCCAAAGCTGACAAAATAAACGAACAGATGGAAAGTAGTACAAGGAAATATGTTTGTATGTAGTGACTTCAGTTACCAACATGATCATATTTAGCTCGTCGCCTCTGTCAGTATACCAATATAACGATTTATTATGTAATTTGTCTCCAGTAACCAATGTGACCTTAGTGGGCCCGACCACTGGTCAGGGACTGGTCCAGCTTATGAAGGATGGAGTCTGGGGAACCATTTGTGATGACAATTTTGACCACTTAGATGCCAAGGTCGTTTGCAGACTCGCTTATCCCAAAGGGTAAGTAATAAGACATCACTGGACTCACATATTCCAAGTCTGAGAAATGCCTCACTTTGAAGAGAAGTATTTCGCCTGGCCTTTTTAATAATTGTCATCCTGCGAAGCCGACAACCCTACTTATATTTGAACGTCACATTGTATACTTTGTAATAAACATTTTGTATAAAATACAATCCTATTTGAAAAACTCATTACCTAGAAGAGAGCATCATCTTTGGAAATCGTTTATATGCCACCTGAACCCTGCTAGTGGTATTTGCAATACAATGATGATCGTAGTACAAAAAAATAAAACTAATACTATTATTGACGACGTAGTCAGTACAATTACAGCATGAGTTCGGATCTTTTACTACAGAGATGTGTGTATCGCTTCTATTGATGGCGTAGTTAGTAACGGTATAGGTCCGACGTCGTTCCTTCTCCTACAGAGATGTGTGTATCCCTTCTATTGATGGCGTAGTAAGTAACAGTATAGGTCCGACGTTGTTCCTTTTCCTACAGAGATGTGTGTATCGCTTCTATTGATGGCGTAGTTAGTAACGGTATAGGTCCGACGTTGTTCCTTCTCCTACAGAGATGTGTGTATCCCTTCTATTGATGGCGTAGTAAGTAACGGTATAGGTCCGACGTTGTTCCTTTTCCTACAGAGATGTGTGTATCCCTTCTATTGATGGCGTAGTTAGTAACGGTATAGGTCCGACGTTGTTCCTTCTATTGATGGAGGGTCAGTAACGGTATAGACATGGTGTGTTTTTCTGTTACAGAGGTTATAGTATCGCTACTATTGATGGGGTGTCAGTAACGGTATAGACATGTTGTGTTTTTCTGTTACAGAGATTATAGTATCGCTACTATTGATGGAGTGTCAGTAACGGTATAGACATGCTATGTTATTCTGTTACAGAGATGATAGTATCGCTACTATTGATGGAGGGTCAGTAACGGTATAGACATGTTGTGTTTTTCTGTTACAGAGATTATAGTATCGCTACTATTGATGGAGGGTCAGTAACGGTATAGACATG